TAGCGGCTAAAGTCCTCGCCTTGAACGCGCTGGGATCCCATATGAGCGCCGGTTCTAATCTTGGTAGCTCCACTTTCCATCCAGCTCTCTGCTTGTGGCCTGGGAAAGCAGTTGAGGACGGCCCAAAGCCTTGGGATCCTGCACCTGTGTGGGAGACCTGGAAGAAGTTCCTGGATCCTGGCTTCAGATCGGCATAGCATTGGCCATTGCGCTCACTTGGGGAGCGAAACATCGGTTGGAAGATCTTCCTCTCTGTTTTTCCTCCTCTCTGTATATCTGACTTTCCAATAAATAAAATAAATCTTTTTTTAAAAAAAAAAAAAAAGACCCTGGGGTCAATAAGTCCCAACTGTTGGAGGTCCCTCTTGGGGGCACTGGAACCAGAGGCGTGATGACCACGCTGAGAAGAATCAGGACAAAGGGTTTGCAAGGGCAGATGAACCAATGCACACTTTAGTGAGTTTTTCTGGGCTCTATATACAAAAACTTCTACAGGGCAGGCAGGTAAGTTACTTGTTAAGTAAACAATAGTACACAAGCCCCTCTAAAGATAGATCACAAGGAATTTGGGCAACAATCACAAGGCTTTATGGTAACAGCATAGCAAACATAAGTTACAGAAGCCAATATTGTTAAACAGTCTTTTTAAAGTTATTATTATTATGATTATTTTATTTTGATGATCTTTACATAGTCAATTAGAGCACAAACGCTCAAGGGCTACAGGAAAGTGGGTAAGATCACTGTACCCATATTCTCTTTTTTCCTTCTGTGTCTAGGGGAAGGGAAGAGACAAAGGGAGAAGCCACACCCACCTCCCCAACCATCCTGGGGTCTCCAATGTGGGGCATGCTCCGAGGGCACTGCTCAGTTGGTTTTGATAGTTCAACAGCTGTGAATTGCTGCCAATCTTTCCAATCTAATCATGATGAAATCTCTTCAGAATCCACTGGTTGACATAGTCCACCTTAGTGTCTTCACTTGCCCAGATTTGTGCTGCCAGCATGTGGTTGGGGCAGTTGATCCATTTGTTCTGTCCTCCATTCTCTGTTGTGGTACCAGGTGTCCTCTGCAGGTTCCAGTGTACTGCCATATCCTCCATGTACAGCTGAATATGCTGTCCACTGCTCTGTCTGAGCAACTGGGGCAGCTCAGCTTTGATACATGGAACCTGCAATTCTCTTCATGGTTGGGTTCTGAGTTGAGCAGTTCAGTTGGGGGTATTCCCAAAGAAACTTCATCTGAGGTGATCCCAGACCTGATTTTGGTGTATTTTTACCAGTACAGAGTCCGGCACAGTCTGTCACCCCCATCAACCAATGCACATGCTGGTGGTTGCAATTGCTGGGTTAGTTCTGTTCCCAGCCCTGCCTTGTACATGAAAAAAATGGATGTTATAGTCCAGACTGATCCTTTCCACCACACACTTGGCCCTCACACAAGCCAATGGGAGCTGCAGCCTAGTTGGAGCAATCCACAATAACCCCCATCAGTCTTGCCCCCTGTCCTGATTCCCATGCATGCCAGTATGTACAGCAGACTGGTCTAGTCTGTCTGACATCCCATTCAGCTCTCATACATGTCAATGGGCATTGAAGCCTAGTTCAATCCAACCAGCCCTACTATCCAGCCAGCACATGTGCCCGTGGGTACCACTCTGTCTAGCCATGCTTGTCCCAGTCCTCCTCTCATGCTCACCAGACAGAGTGGCAACCCAGGAGGGAGGTGCCAATTGTTTCCCTACTGGGCCCACTCCCACTCTCAGATAATGCACTTTCCAGATGGTTCTGCAGTTTGGCTTGACAAAATTAGCACCTCTGTACTTGCATCTGCTAGCTGATGCTGTGGCTGAGTGCAACCAACCAACACCCACTCTCACTTAATACTTGCACTAGTAGGAACAGTCAGCTTTTCCCCGGTCCAGCTCACATGTGGCCTACAGGTGTTATAGCTTTGCCTCTTCTGGTTTGCCCCTTTTCAACCCATGCTCTCCAGTGGAAGAGGTGTCCAGCAGGGCAGCCCCATGTAGCCCCTCTACTGGTTTTGCCCCCTCCCCCCAGTTCTCACATGTGCTGGTTGGGTGTTGTGGCCCAGTCTGGCATAGTCTACCTTGCCTCAGCATTTGCCAGTGGATGCTGTAGCCTGGCTGCTCCCGGCCCAGCCTCAGTTTCAACTCATGCTGGTCGGGGTTATAGCTTAGCCCAGCCCAGCTGGCACCCAGTCCAAGCCCTCGAGTGCATTGACATGTGCTGTAACTGAACCCGGCCCAACCCACTCTATTCTGTGCTTGGATTCATCAGCAGGTGATATGAACTGGCCCACCTGGGTCTGCTTCCAACCTGCGCTAAATGTATGCCAGTAGGAACTGTTTTCTGGCTGGTCTGGGCTGCTCCTTATCATAGTTCTTGCACTCACTTGCATGGACTGTGTCCTGACAGAAGTTTCCAAGGCTTTTCCATCAGAACCTCTCCCAGTGCCAGATCTTGCACACACAGATGGGTCCATGAGCTAGCCCTACTTAGTCCACCTCCTGTTCTAGTAGAAACAATAGCCTTTCCTGACAGGCCTTCAGCCCATTACAGTTTTTCTTGGTGGGTGTTACAGCCCAGCCAAGCCTGGTCCACATGCAGACACAGCTCACACATGGCTCAGCAGAGGCAGAGACCTAGTCTAGCCTACTCTGGTCCTTATGAGCACCAGTTGTTGTTGGAGTCTAGCCCATTCAGCTGCACGGTACTTACTGAGAAGGGAGAAACCTCTTGGGCCCAGGCAAGCCTAGGCAAGCTCAGGACTTGCTCATCGCATGGCAGTGGTGGATGTGGCTAGGGTCCTAAGCATTGAGTCCAACCTGACTCAGGTATTTCCAGCAGCTGCTTGGCTGATGGAAGCTCCCACCACTCAAACCCTGAAGTCTACTAAGCAAACAGATTGAACAAGAAAAGGAACATAAGAAAACTGTGTTTGTACTCGTAGATGCTAGGCCACAAGCACCAAAAGAGGAAGGGCAGAGAGTGAAGTTTCACAGGTCCCCAGTCACGTTTGGCCAGGGTGAGGCCTCTGAGTCCCAGCAGGAAGCTTACTTCTGAGACTTGTGTTCCTTAGGCATCCATAGGTCTGGTTCAGAGGGGCAAAACCCACATACAACCAAGATGTCCAGGAGTTCACTCCAGCGGCAAAGTTGAGATAATGAACAGGTTAAAGAGAGTACCTAGCTCCCTTCTCCCTTCTGCCTGAAGTGTGTGTCAGAACAGGCGGCAAGTCCAATCTGACCCTGAGTGCAGTCATTGCAGAGTGGCCCTGCTGTCCCCTGAGACAGGACCCATGAATGAAGAACCTCAGAATCAGATCCCAATCATTTGCTCATTGCTAACTACAATATTGTCTGCTTTTGTAACTTCTGCTTTGCTTGTTTAGCTAAGAAACTGTGAGTTCAGAGGCTTAGCAGCCTGCATAGGACAAGTCACAATGACAGAGCACTCCTCAAAGCAAAGACCCCTGGTGTGCCTTCTAGATAAGATGTGTTCACTCAAATTGTGCCCCCATAGCCTTTACCTCTATGTCAAGAAGGTAGTGAAAGCTGGAATAATAGTTTACCAATAGTATGCCTCAGAGATGAGACTCCATATAAATGAGGTCGTGAAAGTTAATAATTCTGATTAGCTGGTTAACTGTATAAGAACCCTGCAATTTTCCACCTTGGGGTCTTGCTCCAGAATCGCTGTGATGGTGATGGACAGATCCCAAGCCCGGACATGCCAAGCTTGAATAAACTGCCCTAGTGCATTTGCATTGATGTTTGACTCCTGGTGATTCATTTGGGAGCTCAGAACTGTGATGGCAGCAGTGGCCGTGGTAGAGGCAGTGACAGTGGAGGCAGCAGAAGCAGCAGTGATGAACTGTGACACTTTCATGGCAGTAGAGTTCACTGTAGCTGGAGCTGCAACACTTTTATGATGGCTCACCATACCTTGAGCATTTTGGCTTATGGTGGCCAAAGCCATCTGTAATGCTGTCCTGTTAGTTGTGACACTGCTGTGGTAATTGCTGCTGCCCAGCACTGGTAGCGCTGATCTGGGCACAACAGGAGCATGGGGACTACCACTGTGTGAGGAATCAGACAGGATAGTAGGCAGAAGACTTTCTGGTCCTTACTGAAATTAATTTAAAAAAATATAAAATTGCATTTGTCCCCATCTCTTTACTTTTCAAGAACACAATCTTCCTTCCAAGGGCATGACTCTTCCCTTGAGGGAGTTCAGAGGGGTAGAATTAACATATGAATTCCCCATCTAAGAGTTGTTGTCAAAAGAAACCCAGACATGACCCACACTAATCTCATCTCTGGGTCACCTCAAGGAGATGGTGCCTAAGTACTCAGCTTTTTTAGAATGGGAGGGGAAGTTAATCAATCTCATTCTACAGATATCTTTTGATTGACTAAATTGTTGCCCATTGTGAATGAATTATTTTTCTTCCTTTTTTCTTTGAATGACAGCCCTGATGTGGGGTATAAAATATAGTAACTGGCACAATCAAGATGGTGGAATAGTGTAAAGATACGTTTAAACAAATGGAGAAGCATTAGCCAGTGTAAAGCAGAGAGGGCACATTCCAAGAAACAGGAGAGGACCGAATGACAGCACAGGGGATCTGGAGACTGACAGATACAGGAAAGCAGAAGATACAATGGTGTGGTGTTGTAGTGACTGATATTCCAACGGCATTCAGCAAGTGGTGATCCGTATTACAATGGCAGCCAGAACTTCAATAGCAACAATGTGTGAACAGGTGTTCACCGGGAGTAAGGAGGTAAACCCAGACAAAGAACATCCAGTCCTCCTGCTCTGATTTGACCAGGAGCAGAGACAGAGCAGCAGATCCCAGATGGACAGTGAGGGAACAGGGTGGATTTCATAGCCCAGTCTGCCCTGCTAGAGCCAAATTGAGCACCATTTTGTTTAAGAAGGCAAAGGCTAGGAAAGCACTGAATATGCATTGAGAAAAGGAATTGTGCCCACCAAAACCGAAAGCAAATGAGAAGAGCATCCCAGTAAAATAACAACAGAAGACCAAATCAATGAACAACCCATTCCTAAAATGACAGGACCAAAGTAACACCCATACATATTAAACTCTGAATGTAAATGGCTTAAGCTCAATCAAATGTCATAGATTAGTAGACTAGATTAAAAAACAAAACCCATCTATTTGTTTCCTACAGGAGACACATTTCACCAACAAAGAACAGCAGAAACTATATCTCATGGATTTTGATGGCTTTTTTGGGGTAGTTTCATCTCTTCAAAACACTTTTCTTCTGATTGAATTCTTCATCCTCATAGATCATACAGTAGCATAATTTTCTTCAAGAAGGTTCTTGATTTTCTTTCTCATTTCTTCAGCAACACATTGGTCATTCAGTTCATATTATTTAACTTCATGGCATAGTAAAGTTCTATTTTTCTTCCAGTTTTTTAAAAAAAGATATTAACTCCCCTTGTCCATGGTTCTTTGCTCCCTTGCATTCTCCTTCTGCCTCTAGGGCAAGAGCAACTTTCCCTCTTCTTCTAAAATAAATCCTGCTTTGCAAACTAGCATTGTCTGCATGAAAATTTTTTCACGAGAGACAAGAAATGAGGTTGCTGCCATGATTCACATTGAATTCCTGCAGGGTGTAACACAAGCCCTCCCATAAGGTTCCACCATGTGAACCTTACCTATGGAGATCCCTAGAAAGAAATGCCACCTAACTTTTCCTTGTTACAGACTGGAAGATATTTAGCAAGTACTGGTTAGTAAAAAACAGAACAAATAAAACAAAAAACAAACAAGATGAAATCTGAGCCCATAGAAATTGAGGAAATTTAGATAGTAAGAAAATGCTTCTAGGAGTTCCTAGAGGACTTGTCAGTGTCTGGGTCAGGTTGGAATTCATTGAGGCACACAGTGCAAGGCTCATTGCCTCACCGTGAACTGTGCCCAATCTTAATGACAAATTGATCTCTGTGCAGATTTCAGCTGGACACCCTGATGGACTGTCGGAGTCTGGGATCCAGACAAGGAATCTTCTGAAAAACGTCACAGTAGCACTTCCAGTTTCGTGCAATGTGAAATCTGAGGAAGGAAACAGTTCAGACAGGATCACCATTCCTGGAGCTCATATGAGAACAGTGTCCCAGCTCCAGGGGATTCATCCTGTCAAACCCGGGAAGCCAGGCTTCTACATCCTGAAGAGTGGCAGCTGCACTAACCAGATTTAACTGGTTGACAGGAACCTGGTGTTTCTTTTTGCCAGAGTTACTAATTGTGGAAAATTAGGGTCTCCTAAAAACAGAAGCTACAGAGAGGATAGTCTGCTTGGCTCACCATCTGACAAGGTGATTGGAAGTTGACTGGGGTTGAACTCAAGTCATGCTGACAAAATCTGAGTCACACCGCCAAAACTATTGTAGGGAATTCGAGGGGAATCATGGCAGCAACCTCATTTTCTGTCTCACACGAAAGAATTTTCATGCAGACAATTTCAGTTTGCAAAGCAGGATTTATTTAAAGACAAAAACTGGAAAAGGGGCTCCTATCATGGTGGCAGTAGGGGACTCAATGTGTCCTGAGGAAAAGCCTGAGGTAATGGTGGAAATGGTGTCTTTTATGCCCTATCTCAGGGGAGTTACCCAAAGGATAAAATTGTTCACAATAGCACCTGGTCCAGAATCAAAGAACCTCAGAATGGTGGGACTGGTTAACTTCCTCTTCCAATTCTAATGATAACCTGATCACTCAGGCACCATGTCTTTGAAATGACCCAGAGATGAGATTTGGTGGGCCAAGTCTCCTTGCTTTTGTTACAATAATTCTGAGATGGTGAGTTGATATGCTAATTCTGCCCCTCTGTCCTTTATCAAGCAAAGAAGTTGCCTTTGAAAGAAAAATGCTCTTGGACAGTTAAAAAAATGGGGAGAAATACTATTTTATGTTTTTAAATAGTACCTTCACTTGGGAATAGAAACCCCAGAAGCCAACTCTCCCATTTAACTTCTCACACAGCACCACATTGATCCCTGACTACCCCACCTGCCCCCGACCATTGTCTCACCCCTTATGGAGGATCTGAACCCTTGGTAACCCTTTCTTCAGTGTGATCTTTTTTCCTGAAAATTCAAAATTTAGAGCTGAGGAAGATGAGTGCTACTGCTTGGCTTTTTGTCTTGGCTTGATCAAAATAAAAGGTCTACAAATTTTTGTGTGATCTTAGTCTAGCTTAAAATTAATGAGACATCTATGAGATCAAATCGTGGGAGAGGGATCAAATTGTGGGAGCATGCCCTGTAAAAGGCTTCTTAATTGTAAAAAGCTTCTTAATTGTGGGCCTGGCACAATAGTCTAGTGGCTAAACTTGTCACCTTGCATATGCCGGGATTCCATATGGGCACTGATTCATGTTCTGGCTGCTCCACTTCCTATCAAGCTCCCTCCTTGTGGTCTGGGACAGCAGTAGGAGACAGCCCAAAGCCTTGGGGTCCTGCACCCACATGGGAGACCCAAAAGAAACTCCTGGCTCCTGGCTTTTGTAGCCCCTTGGGGAGTGAATTAGCAGACAGAAGATCTTCCATTTCTGTCACTCTTCCTTTCTGCGTATCTGCCTTTCCCAAAAGTTAAATAATTTTTTTTTTTTTAGTATCTTAATGGTTCCCCTAAATGATTGTGATTCCCCCCCTCCTCAACTATAGGCAGATAAGAATCACAATGGGGACACAGACAGAGCCAGTTCTAAGTTACTCAAAGACTCCAAACATTTCCCTCCCTTTCCTATGGCTGTTCTTGGTTTCAGAGTCAGCTAGCCTTTTGGGTGATAAGATTTTGAAAGATCTACATTCAGACAGAGACAAAATCTGGCAGCAGGCCTCCTGATTTCCTCAAAGGCTTCCTGTAGCTATTGGAGCTTCTGAGAGACAGGTTCCTACAGTGCAGCTCCAAATGTGCCCCTGTCATCCTAAGGCTGCTCAGGTCTCAGAGGCAGGAAGCCAAGTGGGTGATAGAATGGAGACAGGAAACAGAGTAAATGAACTGGTCTTTTCTCAACTAGTCCGGAGAGTGGAGAGGGGGGTCATACCAAGGTCCACATGAGTCACTTTAAGGGATCAAACCCAAGCAGCACACTCATGGGGGTCCCCAGAAGTCTCACCCCTCTTCTACCGAGGAGAGACCAGCCTGAAACATGAGCAGGGAGCTCACCACTGGGGTACCCAGTCAGGTGGTTAGTGTTCAGAATCTACCTGGGGAGTTTCAAGTCACGCAGAAGAGTGGCTTCAGCTGGAGATTGTCAGTTCTCCACCAGGTTTCCTCCAAACACGTGAGACGTGGCCTTGCTCCCAAAAAGAAAATTAAGGTGTTAAGGAAGTGTAGATGGTTGAGGATTAGAGCCTCTGAAGGCCTAAACAACAACCCTTCCTAACAGTACCTGCCTAATAATACAATCCTTCTGGAGGTTTGACCACAGCTAGGCTGTGGCCAGGGGGCCTGCATGATCTTGCAGAACCATGGGGTACCAAGGGTCATTTCTACGGGTGCAGTTCCAACTGAGGGAAGTCTTTTCTTGTTGGGTTGGGCCACACAGCTCCAGTCTGTCTCCTTTTTGACCCCATGTAGGACGCCAGGGAAAATATGTTACCAGAAAATATCAGTGGGTTTTTTCCTCAGCTTAATGTAGGAATAAGAAGCCAGGAACTGGTTGCAGACAGAGAAATGTATTTGAGAAGTGGCCAGGAGAATGTGAAGAAGAGGAAAGATGAAAGCACCTCTGGAGAGAAAGCTGGGAGCTAGGGTGTCTCTTGAAAAAAGAGAGAGTGAGATACCAAAGGTTTGAGGAAGGTTTGAAGGCTTTTCAGCCTTCCCTGACCCTCCTTGTTGGGTGGGAACCTATAGTAAGATGTTCCCCATTGGTGATTTCTTAGCCAGTTAGGAAATGGGTGGGCAATGCTGGTGCTGCCCACCTGAAGGTGTGACCAACACCTCAGCTGGCCTGAATGGTTTCAGGCATCTGTGATTTGCTGCAACTTAGATGCCTGAGGAAATCAGTTAGGGATTTTCTGCATTATGGCAAATGGCCTCTAAATAAAAACAACTTTTCCCTGTTAATCTCTGTACCTTTTAATTTCTTATCCTAAATGCTTATCCTCTTGTTTATTTAGTATTCTATATTGTTTCATAGTTCCTCTATTGTTTTTAGTTTTCAGTGGATCAGGCCATCCTAAGGGCACATGAATGGAAACATAACTCCCCTCACTACTTCCTGGGAAGTAAGCCAGTGGAAGGGAACTTCTCTTGGGTCTGTCAGTCTACCTCTTAAAACAAACAAACAAACAAACAAACAAACACCAGACAAATAAATTGTGAATACAAGGACTCTGTAAGGAAACCTCCATGGAAACCTCTAAGGAAGGGTCAGGAACAGACCCAAGAATGACTATGTAGTTATCTGCTGGGAGGGACTACAGCTTAACTCCACTAGACCATCTGGTTAGTCCTTTGTGACATTGATATACATTGTAACAGGAAATACAAGCCTGACTGGGGTCTGGGAGTTTTTGCAGAAAAAATCCAAGCTGGGAAGAACATTGTGAAAACCCCAAATATTGCAGTCACGTTGGTCAGAAAGCAAATGCCTTGGGATGCCCTGCCCCTTGCAACTGGCGTGGGAGGTGAGGGCAGTGTCCTGGGATGGACCAGGAACCTGCAGGTCAGACACTAACTGCAGGTGTCCTTGCCAGGATTCAGGGAAGGACTGCCAATTGGGTCAGAGAATCAGAGACCTTTTTGTTTTTTTTTTTTTTTTTTTTTATTAATAAATTTTATTTTGACATTCTTTACATAGTTAATTAGGGTAAGAAGGTTCAAGGGCTACAGGAAAGTGGATAATACTAATATGTTTTCCATATTGTTATCTTCATGTTTAAAAGGGGGGTATTAAGGGAGAAGGCCCACCCAATTTCCCACCCTCCCCAAGTCCCGGGTGTAGGGCATGCTCTGAGGTTCTTGCTCAAGTGGTTTTGATATTGCAACAGTTATGAATCGCTGTCAATCTTGCCGCTCCAAGCACTATGAGGTCTTTGAAAAATCCACTGATTGACATAGTCCATCATAGCTTAGACGGTTGGTTGACCCGTTCTGTCTTCTCTCTTTTCTTTGTTATGGTTCTGAGTCCAGCATTTAGATTAGGAAGATCTCCAAAGAAACTTCTTGTATGTGCTAACAAGTACAGGGCCTGGCACCGTCCATCGCTCCAATCAGCTGGTGGTTGCAATTCCTGGGTTGGTTCTGTTTTCACTCCCGGCTTCAACTGGAGCCAATGGGTGTTGCAGTCCAGTCTGGTTCTGCCCAGCACATACTTGGCCCTCACATAAACCAGCGGGAGCTGTAGCCTAGGTTGGAGCGACCCACAATAACCCCAACCAGGCCCACCCCCTACCCTGGTTTGCCAGTAAGTGTAGCAGTAATCCAGTCTGTCCCACATCCCATTCCACCCCAGCCGCTGTCTTAGTTTTATGTCCTCCCGTGGAAGTGGTAACCCAAGAGGGATGAGCCCACTATTTCCCTCCCAGGCCTCTCCCACTCCCAGATTCCAGTTGATGCTGCCCAAACAAACCTCGCCCACTTTAATTTTGTTTGCACCAGTAGGAATAATCCGCCCAGCCTGGCTTTTCCCTGATCTAGTCCACATGAGGCGCACAGGTGTGGTAGCTCTGCCTAGTCTGGTCTGCCCCCATCCCAGCCCATGCTCTCCTGCGGAAGTAGCTGTCCAGCAAAGGAACCCTCCCTTATTCCCCTGCCAGCTCTGCCCACTTCCTTGCTTGTTCTCAGGCTGGTTGGGCGCTGCGGTCCCTTCTGGTACAGGCAACCTCACCTCGGCATTCCATAATGTGCACTAGTCTTTGTTGCGACCAACCCTAGGTCGACCCACACTGGTGCCTGGATTTGCCAGTGGATGATGTGGACAGATTCAGCCTGGTCTTGCCCCCACGTCTGCCAACTGTATGCCAGTGGGTAGGTTTCCATGGCCTGTTCTGGGCTGTTTCCTATCATGTTTTTTGCGTTTACCTGCTGGGTCTGTGTCCTGCCAGAGGAGTTGCCCAGGCTCCTCCATCAGAACCTCTCCCAGTGCCAGGTTTCACGCTTACCAGTGGGTCCATGAGCCAACCCTACTCAGTCCACCTCCTGTCATAGCAGGAACTGTGGCTTTTCCTGACTGGCCTTCAACCCAATCTGGTTCTTGCTGTTGGATGTTCCAGCCCAGCCATGGTTTGTCCATACCCACGTATGGCTCACACATGGCTCAGTAGGGGTTTGAGACCCTGCCTAGTCCATCCCACATCTGCCCTGGTCCTCCAGAACACCAGGGGGAGTCGGGGTCCGGCCCGGCTTGGTGCATCCAATCCCAGTCCACACTTGTGCCAAGGGAGACTACAACTGTTTCCAGATCAGAACGCAGTCCCCTTCCAGGCCACGCGCCTCTTGGTGGGAACCTCAGCCCAGCTAGGGTTGTCCCCTTTGCTCCCCAACCGGGTCCGTTCCCAGGCATAGATCACATGCCTGCCAATGGATGCTCTGACTCAGCTTGGCACAACCCCTCCCCTGTCCCGAACTCTGCCTTAGACACTGTGGCTTAGCGTCCCAGGCTCCCACAGACCAGCAGGTACAAGAGCCTAGCTCGGCATGACCTCTGCTCCCTCCTGGTTTCTAGTTTTACTTGTGGGCTAAGGTTTGCTCAGTCGTGCCTAATCTACTCTGTTCCATTACCAGTTGACACATTGGCCAACTGTTGGAGCTACTTGTGCAGGGCAAGCCCCAAGCCATAGCGTCTGCATGGACTGGTATTTGGTGCTCAGCATTATTAGTGATTACAAGTTTTGCTAAGGAAGAGTTACTGCCTCTTTCAGGTCCAAGAAGCACAATGGGTTCAACCTGGAGCTAATTAAGCAGCAACTCAAAGAACCAAATCCCCAGAGCTCCCCAGCCGGGCGGCCAGAAGGCGGAGCCTGGCACCAATGGCGCACTGGCCGCCCGGGGAGGACGGCTCACCATGTGCCCATGGCGGCCGTCCGGGATCCAGGCATGAGACGCCCCGTCCTGAGACCCACCAGCTGCCAGGAGGCAGCTGGCGGTTTAAATAACCCAGGCCCAAGGTCGCGCCCCTCCCAAATCCCATTCACCGCCCCATGAAGGCGGCGGGTGGGCCCCGGATCTGCCCAGTCCCGGAGGCCTCCCCCCCTCGGTCTACTCACCCCGAAGGAAGCGGCCCCCGAAACCCAGCAGGCCCGGGGAGGACGGCTCACCATGTGCCCATGGCGGCCGTCCGGGATCCAGGCATGAGACGCCCCGTCCTGAGACCCACACAGAGACCTTTTTGGAGGGAGGGAAAAGCCCCTCACTGACCCATGCAGTGGAATTCAGGGGTAGAGATAGAAATTGAACCTCCACCTTGTCTCCTCCAGAGCAAACAGAAGCATTTTCATCACACCTCAGAGCTGTTAAACTCAGGACCACCAGGCTGTCAGCAACACCTCTAATGTAAAAATCAGAGGCAGCAGGGACAACCGCCCTGGTACAAGCTGGGGTCCATTGTCGGGGTCAGAGCTGTGAGCTGTGCCCTCTGTGCCCAGCAGCAGGGCTGTGGTTCCCAGCTGGGACCACCCAGGGTGAGACCATGGATTCTGCTCCTGTCTGTGCAGCCTCAATCAGGTTCTCTGTATTTTCTCTGACCTCAGCTACAGTGTCACATAGCCAGGTGTAGAGTAAATTAGCAACTCTTCAATTTCATTGTAGGCTCCAAGCAGTGAGAATCCATGTAGGGCACCTTGTGAGGAAGCAGGATCCAGAGAAGTTCCATGTGTTCATCTGTGAGCCTCTTCCTGAACCTTCCTCCTGGGCTGTGCCCATGAGAGAGAGGACACAGTGTGTCTCCAATATCCTGTGTTGCTACTGACCACCTATGTCCTCTATTTCCTTCCTGATGGAAAATCATGGACATAGGTGTGGGCACTCGGCACTGGGGTAGAGATGCAGCTTGGAATGCCCAATTCCATCTCAGTGCTCTGTTGGAATTCTGGCTCCACTTCTGGCCCAGCATCCATCCAGGGCATGCTCTGGGGGGCAATAGATGATGCATGAGGACACCTGCACTGAGTTTTGGGCTCTGGGCTTTGGCTTGCCCGGCACCCATCTGGATGGGTATTTGGGGAGTGAGTTGGGGGATAAAGGGAGTACTTTCCTTTTCACAAAGAAGAAAAACATTCAAATAAATAAAAATAATTTTATGATTCCTCTCCCGCTTTGTGTTACCCTCTGCTCATGGGCTCAGGGGTTCCTAGTCTGGATAGCAGTGTGGTAGATAGTAGGGTTCTCAAAAACACAGGCGCCTTTGATCTTTGCTGTGCCATGTGTGGATGTGAATGCTGGGAGGTGAAACATCACAAGCTGAGACTGTAGTGACTGCCCCTCCCTGCTGACATCCCAGCTAAACAGGAAGGTGCACGGTGAGGCTGGGACTTCTCTGGGGATCATACAGCTAACCTGGATTGGGTACCCCACCCAGCACCACTGCCCAGCATAACAACCTGCAGAGTCAAAGGTCAGGGGAAAGGTATGGCTCAGAACTGGGGCATGGGTGTTTCAGAGTCATGAGCCTGAAAGATCTTAAGAGAAAACATTCTAAGCAGGGTGACCTGCACCTGGTCTCTGCCAGAGCAACCCCTTACTGTATGGGGCCCAGGGCCCAGGTGTGCTCAAGAGATCGTTCTTCAAGGGAGGCTGAGGCCCAGGTGGGAGTCTTGTCTCCCCTCCTGCTGCCAGAGTGTTCTCTGGGTGTGGCACCATTAGCACTCACCTGAGCCACATGCAGATCCTCTGCCCACTCCACACTGTCCCAACCCTCCTACTGCCCTCAGGATCCCATATTCTCAGCACATATACGGTCCCTGCTTCTCACAGCGACCCTAGTCCTGTAGCTGCTTAGGCTGTGGGCTTGCTCTCCCCACTTAGCTCTACAGATGCAGGGCTTGGTCCTGCGCACTCTTGCTGCGATCTCTCACTCCCTTGGTGCACTATCTCAGCTCCTGACTGCAAATGTGCTCCATGTGGAGTTACCTTCCCAGTGTGTTTCTCCAGCACAGACATCTCCAGCCTCTCAGTCTCTCAGCCCCGTCCTCACGCAGCAGCCAGGGTGGTCCCTGGACAGGAGAAGGTGTACACATCCTTGCTCTGCTCGGAGTTGTCTCATGGCTCCCACCTCACTCAGAGCCAGGGCTTACCCTTCCAGTGTGTGTGTGGCCTTCTGGATGGTGGAGTCCCAACCCAGCCTTCCTGACAGCTCCCTGCTCTGTGTGCAGACTCACTTCTGCCCCAGGGCATTTGAATTGACTGTCCCCTACCTGCACAGCACCTGCCCGGAGACACCTTTGCTGGTGACCCCTAAGTTTCCTCAGGGTCACCTCCTTGGGGCAGTGCACGCTGACCATGACAGTGAGGCAGCCAGCTGCCTTTATGTATGCTCAACTCAGGCAGGCTGTAGAACCAACAGACACTGAGGAGGGAGTGGCAGTGGAGTCACAATACAGACCTCTGGTGACTGATTTTAGGGAACGTGATCCAACTTTATTACATTATATAATGGTAATATAAGGCTTTAAAAATTTTTAAAATAATATTTATTTAAAATTTTTTACTTCTTTTTAAATTATCATCATCATTCTATGATACTGTTCTATAGACTCTGAGATTTCCTCTGCCCCTTGCCAAGTCCCTTTCCCCACCATTATTATTGTTATTGTAAGGTAGTTCTTCATAAAGTCACATATTCATCATTGTTGACATGGACAATGGCAAAGAGTCCAGCGTCCTATTGTCAAGATACAGCTAAGTTTCATTAGTAGTCCATTCTAAATCTGTAAGTAGAGATGCACACTGCACTGCATCCTCACATCTAGATATGATAGTCTCCATTACACAATCACCACACGTCTCCTTAAATGAAAATCCACAATACAAAATCAACAACAGGAAGAAAAATAGAGCTTTATAATGCCATGAAGTTCTCAAGAGGTTTTGCTAGTTCAACAGTCCTGAATTGCTAGTGATCCTGACACTCCAATCATGATGCAATCTCTCCAGAATCCACTGGCTGTTACAGTCCACCTTAGAGTTTCCACCTGCCCAGATCTTCACTGCCAATGCTTGGTTGGGGTAGTTGATCAACTTGTTCTTTTCCTTTTTTTTTTTTTTTAAGATTTATTTTTTAAAATTTTTATTCGAAAGGCAGATATACAGAGAAGAGAGACAGAGAGGAAGATCTTCCGTCCGATGATTCACTCCCCAAGTGAGCGCAACGGTCGATGCTACGCCAATCCGAAGCCAGGAACCTCTTCCGGGTCTCCCACACAGGTGCAGGGTCCCAAAGCTTTGGGCCGTCCTAGACTGCTTTCCCGGGCCACAGGCAGGGAGCTGGATGGGAAGCGGGGCTGGCGGGATTAGAACCGGCGCCCATATGGGATCCTGGGCATGCAAGGCAAGGACCTTAACCACTTGCGCCACTGCGCTGGGCCCTCTTCATCTGTCTTAGCCTTTGCCTTTGGATGTTGCAAGCTGGCCTGACCTAGCCAGCCCCTAGTCCTAACTCTCGCTTGCAGGTGCTGCAACCTGGCCCTGCTCAGTCTGTTCCCGTCCCTGGCTCATGTAAACCAGTAGGTGTGATACCCTAGCTCGGCATGATCTGCACTCCAGCTTGGTTTCTGTTCTTGCCAGTGGGATAAGGTCTGCTTGGTCCTGCCCAGTCTGCCCCCTTTCAAAACCAATCCACATACTTGCTAGCCAATGGGGCTACCTTGCCCAGCTTGCCCGAACCCTAGGCCTGGAACACATGTTCACCAGTGGGAGCTATGGCCCCATAGCTGAGTTTCCCAGGTTCCCCCACTCAGCCCACTCCCAGATCCAGATCTCACATATGAAAGCAAGAGCTAGGCCCTTACCCAACATAGCCTCCCCCTCCATTTTGGCCTTTGTATAAGCTGGTGGATGTTGCAGGCAAGCCTGCTCTACACCCTGTTTAGGATGCACATGCAGGTGCTGCAGCTTGGACCTGCCCAGCCTATTCTCAGCCCCAGTATATGTGAATGTTGGTGGGTTTCATGTTTACACCTCTTTCAGCTAGTCACCACTCCAACTCTTGAGCTAACCAGTAGGACTTGTACTTCCATAGAGTTGGGCCCACTTATCCCCCACAGAATCTACCCCAGGACCTGGTTCTCTTGTGTATTGGTTAGTGTCATGGCTCTGCCTAATGTGACCTATCCCCTGTTCCAACACTCATTCAGGTACTGGGATCTAGCTCTGTTAGGCCCCTAGGCATAGATTTTGTGTGAGGTGGCGTATTGCGGTCAGCGATGCTCTGTGTTAACAAGCCCATCTGAGGACTCCCATGTGGGCTGGTGAATCAGTCTGAACCATACAGATCTTCTAAACTCTCCCCTCCATACCACCAGGTCTCAGTCCACTCACTTATGGGCAAGTACAGTGGCCCTGTTGTTAAATGTCCCTCACGATTCATTCCTCACATATGTATGGTGTCCTTATCCACGGATGTCCCTAGGCAATAATTCATCACCCCCAAATCCCCAGAGCTCATCAGAGGGTGGCCAACAGGCAAAGCCAGGCACTTGGTGGGCACACTGGCTGCACCCATGGTTTAGGTTGCTAGCCAGAAGCAGCTCAACAGGTGCTTGGCAGGTTACTTTTTTACCAATCAGTGTACAAACAACAGCACAAAGCAGTAATTATAAAGGTCAAACTGTGCAGGCAGAGGAGGGTGTCTGTTAGTGGTCCCTGCAGGTGCAGTCAGGTTGCTATAGTGACAGGGCAGGATAGGGTTAGTGTGCTAACCACAGCTTCTTAGCTCAGTGAGGCTGAGTCAGGTGGGTTAGTGTGTGGAGCCAAGCCGCAGACACCCAGTATTGGATCTGGTCCACAAAAAAATTCAGCTGAGTGATAAGTGTGTAGTGCACATCCCTTCCAAACTCTGTGGCTTCATTAGTGGAGCCTGAGACAGAGACCAGCTGTGGCCGTTGCAGTGGTGTCTTCTCCCACTTGTGTCCACATCTGTTTCTCACATGCTTTCTCACAGTGTTCTCTGCCCTCATGCCTCCCCTCTCCCCAGAGATGAAGGACACCAAGCTCACACACAGCCAATGACACTAAGAAAAAAAAAAAGTGAACACAGGAAGGTGGGAGCCCAAGGCTGAATCCAAGCCTGAGATTTGGCTGTCCCTGCCACAACCAGCCTACACTGCCTTGGATCCCTGAAACAGGGCTGTCTGGCCACAACTGAGTACTGTGATGGCAGGTGTTGGGGCACACATTCTACTGGAGAGACAAGGACAACGGGGCAGCAGAGCCAGGTCAACAGTGACCGTGAAAAAGCCTGATGGGCTCAACAGAGCCTGGGTCCAGCTCTGTCCTCATCCGGGGTCTATCAGCCTCTCCTGTCCCATTTGCAATAGACTCAGCACAGCAAACACATGGATTGTGAAAGGTTCTTGGTGGTGCCTCTTCTTATTTTCTTTCAAATTTTTGGAATTTCCTGTTTTAATTTTTTAAATATATTTTTTTCTTCATTATATTTTGACAATCTTTACATAGTTAATTGGGGTAAAAAGGTTCAAGGGCTATAGGAAAGTGGATAAGACAAATATTTCCATATTGTTTCCTTCATGTTTAAAGGGGGGGCATTAAGGGAGAAGGCCCACCCAATTTTCCACCCTCCCCAGGTCCCGGATGTAGGGTATTCTCTGAGGTTCTTGCTCAAGTGGTTTTGATAGTTCAACAGTTATGAATCGCTGCCAATCTTGCCACTCCAAGCACTATGAAGTCTTTGAAGAATCCACTGATTGACGTAGTCCATCACAGAGTCTCTGTTTACCCCATATTTTGTTGCCAACATATAGCTGAGATGGTTGATTGACCTGTTCTGTCTTCTCTCTTTTCTTGGTTAGGGTTCTGAGTCCAGCATTTTGATTGGGGAGATCTCCAAAGAAACTTTGTCTGAGGTGTTCTCAAACCAGATTCTTGTATGTGCTAGCAAGTACAGGGCCCAGCATAGTCCATCGCTGGTGGTTGCGATCGCTGGGTGTTGCAGTCCAGCCTGGTGCTGCCCAGCACAGTCTCAGCCCTCACATAAACAAATGGGAGCTGCAGCCTAGTTGGAGCGACCACAATAACCCTTACCAGGCCCACCCCCTGCCCTGGTTTGCCAATATGTGTAGCAGTAGTCCAGTCTGTCCCACACCCATTCCAACCCAGCCCCTGTCCTGGTTCTCATGCCCTCCCGTAGAAGTGGTAACCCAAGAGGGATGAGCCAACTACTCCCCTCCCAGGCCTCTCCCACTCCTGGACTATGCACTCTCCAGATAGTTCTGTGGTTTGACTTGACAGAACTAAACCCCAGTGCCAGCTTCTGCCAGCTGATACTGTGGCTAAGCCCAAACAACCCTCACCCACTCTAATTTTGTTGGCACCAGTAGGAATAATCAGCCCAGCCTGGCTTTTCCCTGATCTAGTCCACATGAGGTGCACAGGTGTTGTAGCCCTGCTTAGGCTGGTCTGTCCCCATTCCAGGCCATGCTCTCCAGAGGGAGTAGCTATCCAGCAAAGGAACCCTCCCTTATTCCCCTGCTGGTTCTGCCCCCTCCCTTCCTGGTTTTCACACATGCTAGTTGGGTGCTATAGTCACATCTGGCACAGGCAACCTCACTTTGGCATTCGGTGCATTCCGTATTGTGGGCTAGTTTTTGTTGCGACTGAGCCTGGCTCGACCCACACTGTTCTGGTGCCTGGATTTGCCAGTGGATGATGTGAACAGATTCAGCTTGGTCTTCCCCCAATTCATGCCAGGTGTATGCCCATGGGTAACTTTCCATGGCCTGTTCTGGGCTGTTTCCTATCATGCCCCTTGTGCTTACCTGCCGGATCTGTGTCCTGCCAGATTACCCAGGCTTCTCCATCAGAACCTCCCCCAGTGCCAGATTTTGCGCATACCAGGGGGTCCATGAGCCAGCCCTACTCAGTTCACCTCCTGTCCTAGCAAGAACAGTGGCTTTTCCTGACTGGCCTTCAATCCAAACTGGTCCTTGGTGTTGGATGTTTCAGCCCAGCCATGGCTTGTCCATACCCACATATGGCTCACACATGGCTCAGTAGGGGTTGAGACCTAGCCTAGTCCATCCCACATCTACCCTGGTCCTCCAGGACACCAGAGGGTGTTGGGGGAGTCTGGCCCGGCTTGGTGCATCCAATTCCAGTCCACATTTGTGCCAAGGGAGACTACAACCATTTTCCGTTCAGAACACAGCCCCCATTTCCTGTTTAATTTTCTTACCAACACTTTAGACAAGAATTGGAAAAAATGATTTGCTGTTCAGATTTGCAAAAGAAAGGATGAAGCTGCAGCAGATGCACCTGACTTGAGACAGGGACGGAGGCACCCACGCTGGGCTGGGGGAGGGCCAGGCTCCCACCTCACACTGTGCCCCCAGGAACACACTCAGCTGCCCTTGCAGGAGAGGATGGGGCATTTTGAAGACACAAAGATGGGAACCTGAGCCAAGACTTGCACAGTTCAATCATAAACAAGGCAGATGTCTCATGCTTCAAAAACAAGGTGAAAAATTCAAGTCATTGCACATGGGAACAGGAACAGCAAAGCACACTTTGAAAATGTCCAAATACTAGGAATCCCGAAGTTCCTAGGTGTACCCTCAGCACCACCCACTCTCCCATCCAAGCCCTCCAGGTCTCACCTTTCAAGCTGTGAGAGAGCAGTCAGAGCCCTGGGCACTGTATCCACCTGGGAGAACCAATCAGGACTTGGTGAGAGCCCGGGGATGTGACTGAGGGAGGAGCTACAGGGTGGGCAGGGCAGCTTCTCCATGGACATCTGACTATGGCAAGGACCTTGGAGCTCCCCCACCCCCTAACACACCCTAGTGCTTGCCAGCCTTAGTGTAGCTTCCTCCTTCCCCATCTGTGAGAGAAAAGAGCTAGTGAGAGGCAGGGAGAAGGCAGGGCCTGTGGACCTGCCTAGAGGAAGCCTTGAGGACTGCCTCATCTCAGAGAAGATTCCAGAACTGTGGCTGGCAGACCCAGGAAAGGGTCAGGAGGTGCCTCTCCTGGAGGTGTGTCCTCAGCTGGGACCTCCCCCTGACCCTGGGCTGCTGGAACTCAGCTCCCTGTGAGCAGAGTCATCCTAGTGGAGTGTTTGTTCTCCACTTCTACTCGTGCTTCACAACAGAGCAATGTGAGCACCTGAGGCCCAGCTGGGGGTGCAGGTGTGTGCATGGTGCTTCCCAGGAATGGGGTTGGGGACCTTCTCCCGGGAGACAAGAGACTCAGACCCAGTCCTCATCCTGCCGTACCTGAGCTCATTCCGCCTCCTGCTTATCCTCACAGCTATAAGCACAGAGCCAATGACCACAGCTGCCAGGACGACCAGGCCAATGATGAGTGCCCACACAGGTGTGGTAGGCTGAGGAGACTCTGAGAAGGGAAGGGAGGGTTAGGGGTTCTGACCCCAGGGCTCAGTCCCACCCATGCTGAAGGCCCCACTCTCCTGCCTTCCTTACCCCATCTCAGGGTGAGGGGCTCAGACAGCCCCTCATGCTCCACATGGCACGTGTATCTCTGCTCCTCTCCAGAAGGCACCAGCACAGCTGCCCACTTCTGGAAGGTTCCATCCCCTGCAGGCCTGGTCTCTACCAGCTCTGTGTCCTGGGTCAGGTCCTCCCCATCGCGCTGCCAGGTGAGTGTGATGTCCTTGGGGTAGAAGCCCAGGGCCCAGCACCTCAGGGTGGCCTTCTGGTCAGAGACTGGGTGGTGGGTCACGTGTGCTGTAGGTGGGTCTGAGGGGAGATTTGGACAATTCAGATCTTTCATGTTCTTCACCTGGTACCACAGCTACACTCATTGATCAGCTAGAGAGAACAAGAAATCTGGGATCGGGTTGAAGTGTAAATTCACACCTGGCCTGGATAAACACAATGGGATAATCTATTGTTTGGTAAGTTCTAGAATCAGGAGTCTGAGGAGAAGGGACTTAGTCTTGTTGTGAGTGGAGGTTCAGAGACTCAGAAACCCTTTAGTGCAACCTGTCTGCATTAACTTAAGGCCTAACACAGGCCTGAGAGGAGTCAGGGTTCACAGGACTGTCCAGGAGTCCAGGCTCTGAGTAGGTTCTTTCCAGATTCTTCTGTGCCCCCTACCAACCTAGGTACCTCATCTACTGAGGGAATGGTGGGTATTTGGCACTGGACCCAAAGCCCAGCTGGAACTCCCTGATGTGGCCATGAGGAGAGGTGGACAGTGCGTGTGTCCCATTTTTCTCCTCTCCTCGCTGCCCCCAGCCCGAGGGAAGGCGGGTGAGGGCATCCCCTCCCAGCCCTGCGCACCTGCTCGCTGCAGCGTCTCCTTCCCTAACTCCAGGAGTTTGTGCAGCCACTCCACACAATCCCCCTCCAGGAAGTCCCTGTGGCGTTCAGTCATATCTGACTTCTCCCACTGGTCCTTAGTGGTCTGAGCCGCCAAGTCTGCCGCGGTCCAGGATTTCAGGTCCTCATTCAGGGAGATGTGGTCCACTCCTTCATAGCCATATTTCGCGTACCCGCGGAAGAGGCGCCCGTCCTCCCCGACCTCGCAGCAGTACATCCCCTGGATAGTGTGAGAGTCTGTCCCAGGTCCCACGATCAGCCCCGGCCACGCAGCTCCGCCCCGCCCTCACCGACCCGCGGGGATTTCGCCCGAAACCGAAAACGAAACCCGGGCGTGTCCCGCGGCTCCTCCCGCCGAGGGTCTCCGCGGGGCGCGCAGTCTTGGGGTGGGGGACCTCGGCCCCGGGGACCCGGAGCGCCCTGGGCGCACGTGGGGAGGGTCGGGTCACTCACCGGCCTCGCTCAGGTTGTAGTAGCCGAGCGCGATGACCTGGTACTGGTGGTAAGACTGTGCAAGGTAGTTGGCAAGCAGCGTCTGCAAGTCCCAGTACTCTTGCTCAACTTGCTGCATCCACGGCACCAGCGGCTCCGCACTCGGGTTCTCGGTGTCGCTGTCGAAGCGCCCGAGCTGCGTGTCGTCCACGAGGGCCACGGCGACGAAGCGGGGCTCCCCGAGGCCGGGCCGGGACACCGAGGTCATGTAATACAGCATGGAGTGGGAGCCTGGGGGAGAGAGGGGCTGAGACCAGGGCCGTCCCCCACCCGAAGCGGTACACCGGCGGGGTCTCGGTTCGTTGGGGCGATTGGGGAGGAAGGATCTTTGGGGTGGCGGGGAAGGGTCTGGATGAGGGGAGGGTGGGACGGAGGAGCCGAGGTGAGGACCTCAGCTGGGGGGAGGGGGAGGAGAGGAGGCTCCCCGAGGTCCTGTGTCCCTCCGCGCTCCCCTCGCTCCTGCCCCGCAGAGCCCGTCTCCCTCCCGACCCGCACTCACCCGCCCGGGTCTCGGTCAGGGCCAGGGCCCCCGCGAGCAGCAGGAGGAGGGTCCTGGGCGACATCGACTGCCTCCTCTTGTCTGTGGAAACTTTGATTCAGGAGGCTCCAGGTCTGACTTTATAACTGGAATCTGGCGGTGCTGATAGGCTCTTCCAGAAACTGTACCTCCAATGGGAGTGTGACATGGGCTGCATCAAGAGTGTTCGGACAGAATGACCTGACCCTGTTGTGAGAGGGAAAGTGGAACTCAGAGTAGCCGACTCCCCATCACTCAGCTTCCAGAACGAGAGTCCTCAGAGCCCTGAGCCCTTGCGATTTCTTAGCTCCATGTGCTGCACAAACATGATCCGCTTGGTGATCAGAACCCTCTCGGTGACAGAGGTGAGTGTGGCTCCTCCTCCTCTCAGAGTGAGCAGTGTCCCAGCCACACTCCCACAGACCCAGGTGCACTTTCCCAGACAGTGCACCTGTGCCCTAGTTATCCTCATCCTCACCCCTAGCTCTGAGCCTCTGTGTGTGTGTGTGTGTGTGTGTGTGTGTGTGAGTCCAGAGCACAGTCAGCAACCACCACTGCCCTACAGGGTGCACAGAGGTAGGAACTGGGAATTGGTAGTGGTGGTGTCACTCAGACTCAAGCACTGACTCATGGGATAGGGACATGAGGAGCCACAGCTAACTGCTGTCCCAAATACCCTCCTTTTATTTGATTGAAATTACATTTATTTGAAAGATTGAAGCAACTGAGAGTTTCTGTGTACAAGAGGCTTATCATGAGCCAAAAACACCTGGTGTGATGGTTTATCTTAGAACAGCCAGGTCCTCATGTTATCTCTACTTCATGTCTCCCTCTGGTTGTAAGTTTTGGAAGAAGGCCCCCTAACCCCAGGGCTATTTCCTCTTCTCTCCCTTTGTTCAGTTTGGCTAAATTGCTCTTCCCTTTTGGCTTTCTTCAACTTTAATTAACATTGGAAAACCAACCTTAGAGACTCTTAGTTCCACCCCAGATAGTGATTTTTAACAAAAACCTTGCATATCCTGGCCTTTGTAACAACAGCTTTGACACCCTGGCTTTTTGGGACAATTTTTTTTTAATGTTCTTAGACAAGGTGCATCATCCTAAAAGCATGGATGATGGCCGCAGTGTAGTTTTTTTTTTAATATTTATTTATTTTTATTGCAAAGTCAGATATGTATATAGAGGAGAGACAGAGAGGAAGATCTTCCATCCAATGATTCACTCCCCAAGTGACTGCAATGGCCAGAGCCGCACTGTTCTGAAGTCAGGAACCAGGAGCTCTTCTTGCTTTCCCAGGCAGGTGCAGGGTCCCACTGCTTTGGGCCGTCCTCCACTGCTTTCCCAGGCCACAAACAGGGAGCTGGATGGGAAACGGGGCTGCCAGGATTGGAACCGGTGCCCATATGGGATCCTGGGAGCATTCAAGGTGAGGACGTTAGTGGCTAGGCTACCACACCAGGCCCCTCAGTGTAGTTTAATAAAATCTCTATTAAACATCTTCTCATTGTCTGTTTAATCAACCCTGATAAAAGAGATGGAATGAGGGAGAGAGAATGAGAGAGAGAAAGAATCTCCCATCTGGTTGGTTTGAGGCTAAGTAATAGTAGTACAATCCAGAACTGGGATGGGGATAACAGGGACCTGAGCATTGGGCCTTTGCTGCTGCCTTACAGGGCAGGAGTCTGCGCAGGTGAGGCAGGGGATCAGTCCTGCTTTTGTGGTGAGATAGACAGCCAGTTCAGGGTCATGAACTTCGAAGGTACTCCCCTGCCATCCCCTCTATCCCCAGCCCCAGGACTCTCATCTATCACCTGAGAGGGGGCAGTATTGCATTGCATAGCCACTCCCCTCACAAGCCCCTATAAAGGCTCATGATAGGAAGGGGCTGGCTCTCTTTGCCTCCCCAGTACCTCTGAGGACAGATATCCCCTGAGCATGGCCCCTGTGTGTCTGTGTTCCTCACTCTCTGTTCACTGCTTGAGTGGGACAATGAAGATAGCAATGCTAAGATATTTATAATTTGTGTACTATCAGGAGTTCCAGGGAGGTGAGGCATAGCAGTAGTGGAATGTGGGCAGAGGAGCCAGGGAAAGGTGAGCTGTGTAAGTGTGTCCCGGCAATTCATTGCATGTCTCTTAGGATAATTTATATTGTGGTGAAGCTGGGACATAGGTCTTCAGCTTAACAGATGGACTTCTGGGTAATGACCATTTGTTCTCTTGGGGTTAACGACAGGCTGAATTGCCATATGGACTTGTGATTTGCTATTTCTAGTGGGCCCTGTTATCACCAAGCTTGGTTAATAAAGACTCTTGAATAACCTTAGACATGTCTGGCGTGATCTAATTTGCACCTCGCAACAATCTGTGCTGTTGGCTACAGGCATCTTTACTTGCTGGGCTGAATGTCCACCTCCTGCCTTTTTTTTTTTAAATAATGTAAGCCTTGTTCATACCATATGGCTTGCACTGGTACTGTTTAACATAAACACAGAAGGAAATTAGATTTCAGACATCCCCACAGAGTGTATTAAATACTAAATGCTGGGTGTGCAGAGCAGAGCCATGGTGTAGCAGTCTAAGCTCCTGCCTGCTGCATCAGCATCCCATATCTGGCCCGGTTAGAATCCTACCACCTCTACTTCCAATTCAGTTTCTTGTGAATGATGTGGGAAGTAGGTGATGATGGCCTAAGTTCTTGCACCCACATAAGAGACCTGGAAGAAGCTCCTGGCTCCAGGCATCGGATTGGCCTGATATGACCATTGTACTCACTGGGGGAGGGAACCAGTGAATGGAAGACCTCTCTTTAACTCTGCCTTTAAAATAAAAACAAAATACACCTTTAAAATTTTTGAAATCTGGTCCTGGCACTGTGGCCTAGCGGCTAAAGTCCTCGCTCTGAATGCGCTGCGATCCCACATGGGTGCTAGTTCTAATCCTGGCAGCTCCACTTCCCATCCAGCTCCCTGCTTGTGGCCTGAAAAAGCAGTCGAGGATGACACAAAGCCTTGGGACCCTGCACCCGAGTGGGAGACATGGAGGCGGTTCTTGGCTCCTGGTTTTAGATCGGTGCAGTCCCGGCCATTGCAGTCACCTGGGGAGTGGATCATCGGATGGAAGATCTTACTGTCTGTCTTTCCTCTTCTCTGGATATCTGACTTTCTAATAAAAATAAATAAATCTTAATTTTGTTAAAGCCTGGAAATCCCTGCTGGACTCAATTGAGAAGTCTGTTAAAATCTAGAAGATTTGTGAGAGTGGTTTATAGAGAGAGAAGGTTGGGAGAGCCACAAGACTGGCAAGCTGACTCCTATGAAGGACAGAGGGTGGGAGGGTTTGCTGGAGATGTCTGGGTAATATGCAGTCCAAGGGGCTTAGTGGAAGAAGGGAGCCTTGGGCCTTGGGCAGCTTTCAGAGGGGGAGCAGCCCTGCTTCTGTTTCCCTGCACTTTTCAATCCCTGTGGGAAGTCTGGCCTTGGAGGAAACTCGAGTTTGTCATTGTGTGTCCTCAGCTGAGGGTCTGGAATGGGTGTGTTCATGACAGCTGCCACACGGGTAGTGAAGAGGGAAGATGGTGAGAAGATAGGAGAGAGGGAATGACTGAGGAACTGTCCCTAAGTCAGAGAGAAGGGGTGAGTCAACTGCACCTCACTGATTTTAAAAGGGAATTAACTCATTGGGTTTGGCATGATAGTAGCTAAAGTTCTCGCCTTGCATCCTCCAGGATCCCATATGGGTACCGGTTTTTATCCCAGCTGCTCCATTTCCCATCCAGCTCCCTGCTTGTGGCCTGGGAAAGCAGTTGAGGAAGGCCCAAAGCCTTGGGACTCTGAACCTGTGTGGGAGACCCAGAGGTAGCTCCTAGATCCTGGCTCCTGGCTTTGGATTGGCTCAGCTTTGGCTGTTGCAGCTACATGGGGGAATGAACACATGGATGGAAGATCTTCATCTCTGTTTCTCCTTCTCCCTGTAAATCTGCTTTTTTAATAACAAATAAATTCTTTTTTTAAAGAATTTTTTTCAATTGGAAAGTTAGATATACAGAGAGGAGGAGACACAGACAGGAAGATCTTCCATCCATTGATTCACTCCCCAAGTAGCTGCAACTGCTGGAGCTAAGTTGATCTGAAGCTAGGAGCCAAGAGCAAGGAGATTCTTTTGGGTCTTTCAGGGTCCCAAGACTTTGAGCCATCCTTGTCTGCTTTCCTAGGCTACAAACAGGGAGCTGGATGGGAAACGAGGTGGGAAACCAGAATCGACGCCCATATGGGATCCCAGCATGTGCAAGGTGAGGCCTTTAGCTGCCAGACTACTGCACAGGGCCCAAATAAAGAAATCTTAAAAAAAAAAAAGAGAGAGAGAGAGAGTAAAGGAAAAAGAAGAAAATGAAAGGAGATGGCACAGAAGAGAATACATTTGTCAGGTGTGTGATCAAGCAAATGCTGCTACATCAAGTCTGCACAGGTCAGATGATGAGTTCAAAACAGGGTGTGTGCCTGAAAAGTAGTTCAGGGCTTCCAATTCGTCAAACCCCACTGGGAGGTAGAAGGCATGAGAGCAAGTAGAAATGAGCCCCCGAAGGAGTAGATGGAGGGCAGCTTCCCCAGTCACAGAGCACAGTGAGTGTCCAGAGCATGAATGAAAGTGACATGCATGAATAAAAAACCCAATGCCCAGCAAACCAGTGAATGTTATCCTGTCTCATCAGCTGTTAAAGGAAAGGCCAACATGAACCCCATACAGCAGCATGTAGGAACCTTGAAAATATTATTCTAAGTAGAAGAACCCAATCGCAAAGTACCACATGTTGTAGGATTTCGTCCACGGGCAATGTTCAGAATAGGCCGATAGGGAACGAGCGATGGGGGATTGAGGACTGCTAACAAGTAGGAGGGGTTCTTCCTGGGGTCACAAAGAAATCCTAAAACTGAATGTAGTGATTTTTCTACAACTTTGTGACTGTACTAAAACCATTGAATTACCCACTATCTATATTTTTTTTAATATTTATTTATTTTTATTTGAAAGATTTCACAGAGGAAGG